CTGAGCCTACATCACCTGAGCCTACAACACCTGAATCCAAGAGACCCGAACCTACAACACCTGAACCTACAACACCTGAACCTACAACACCTGAACCTACATCTGAACTTACAACACCTGAACCTACAACACCTGAACCTACAATAACACTTGAACCAACAACACCTGAACTTACATCTGAACCTACAACACCTGAACTTACAACACCTGAACCTACAACACCTGAACCTACAACACCTGAACTTACATCTGAACCTACAACACCTGAACCTACAACACCTGAACTTACATCTGAACTTACAACACCTGAACCTACAACACCTAAACTTACATCTGAACTTACAACACCTGAACCTACAACACCTAAACTTACAACACCTGAACCCACAACACCTGAACCTACAACACCTGAACCCACAACACCTGAACCCACAACACCTGAACCCACAACACCTGAACCTACAACACCTGAACCTACAACACCTGAACCTACAACACCTGAACCTACATCTGAACTTACAACACCTGAACCTACAACACCTGAACCTACAACACCTGAACGTACAACACCTAAACTTACAACACCTGAACCTACAACACCTGAACCCACAACACCTGAACCCACAACACCTGAACCCACAACACCTGAACCTACAATAACACTTGAACCAACAACACCTGAACTTACACCTGAACCTACAACACCTAAACTTACAACACCTGAACCTACAACACCTAAACTTACAACACCTGAACTTACATCTGAACTTACAACACCTGAACCTACAACACCTGAACCTACAATAACACTTGAACCAACAACACCTGAACTTACACCTGAACCTACAACACCTAAACTTACAACACCTGAACCTACAACACCTAAACTTACAACACCTGAACCCACAACACCTGAACCTACAACACCTGAACCCACAACACCTGAACCCACAACACCTGAACCCACAACACCTGAACCTACAATAACACTTGAACCAACAACACCTGAACTTACACCTGAACCTACAACACCTAAACTTACAACACCTGAACCTACAACACCTAAACTTACAACACCTGAACCCACAACACCTGAACCTACAACACCTGAACCCACAACACCTGAACCCACAACACCTGAACCCACAACACCTGAACCTACAACACCTGAACCTACAACACCTGAACCTACAACACCTGAACTTACATCTGAACCTAGAACACCTAAACTTACAACACCTAAACCTACAACACCTGAACCTACAACACCTGAACCTACAACACCTGAGCCTACAACACCTGAGCCTACAACACCTGAACCTACAACACCTGAACCTACAACACCTGAACCTACAACACCTGAGCCTACAACACCTGAACCTACAACACCTGAGCCTACAACACCTGAACCTACAACACCTGAACCTACAACACCTGAGCCTACAACACCTGAACCTACAACACCTGAACCCACAACACCTGAACCTACAACACCTGAACTTACAATAACACTTGAACCAACAACACCTGAACTTACAATAACACTTGAACCAACAACACCTGAACTTACATCTGAACCTAGAACACCTGAACTTACAACACCTAAACTTACAACACCTGAACCTACAACACCTGAACTTACAATAACACTTGAACCAACAACACCTGAACTTACATCTGAGCCTACAACACCTGAGCCTACAACACCTGAGCCTACAACACCTGAACCTACAACACCTGAACCCAAGAGACCTGAACTTATAACACCTGAATGTGCATCACCTGAACCAACAACAACAACAACAACAACAACAACAACAACAGCACATGAACCTGCAACAGCAACAGCAACAACAACAGCAATAACAACAATACCTGAAACTACAACAACAACAACTTCAAATGAACCTGCGAAGGCAGCGACAACAACATCAGCAACAACAACGACAACAACATCGGCAACAACAATAACATCATCTGAGCCTACGAACCCGACGACGACAACAACAGTAACAACAACAACAGTAACAACAACAACAATAACGACAACAACAACGACGACAAATCTGATGAAAACAAAAACACCAAACTAACAAACAAAGACAGCAACACGCATCTGAAACTACAACTGCAGTAATACGGCTTAAACTCACAAACAGGAGCAGCAACAAGAACAGCAGCAACAACAACATCAACTACTACAACAACAACAACAACAACAACAACAGCAGCTTCACCTGGACCTACGACAACAAAACGACAGCAACAATAACAACAACAATAACAACTACAACAACAACAACAACAACAACAACAATATTAGCATCATCAACAACAACAACCTCTGAATCAATAACAAAACATCTAAACCTAGAACAACATTAAAGGGTTATTTGAGTGCAATAACAAGTATTTTTGTCTTTAACTGTTCGTCTGTTTGCTTCTTTTCAGTCTTCTATAATCTATCTACCCACCTACCCTTCCATCTCTTTCGCTCTCTCTCTCTCTCTCTCTCTCTCTCTCTCTCTCTCTCTCTATATATATATATATATATATATATATATATATATATATATATATATATATATATATATATATATATATATATATATATATATATAGATAGATAGATAGATAGATAGATAGATAGATAGATAGATAGATAGATAGATAGAGATGGGAGGGGGGTCCTCGTATAAATATTGTAGTTTCCTACGACATTTCGTAATAGTTACCAGGGCAATTTTTAAAGAATGTCACTCGGAGCAATTCTTGTTTAAGTCGTAAAAGTCAAGTGTAAATTGATTTGGAAAGTGAGTTTTGGAACACAAAAGGTCAAGTGCCGAATACGTAAAGGTCAAGTGCCGAATACGTAAGTGAAATTTTATATTACGGTAAATGTATCAGCTGAGGCTGTTTTAACTACGACAGAGATTGTCTTACGTCTTTAAGAAACATTTCCTTTGAACCTGTTGAACCAAGGAACACACTGCGATACCCCAGAATTACAAAGTTCTGTCTGCGCAGTGCCAAGTTATCAGAATTTGAAGTAAGAAAACATGTCAAACTTTTTCGAATGTTTTTATTTGAAGATCTTATGGCGTCGGTGGCCTTGTGGTTAGGCTAAGGAACTCGTAATCGTGAGGTTGCGGGGTCGGGGGTTCGAGCCGCGGACCCGACGCTGTGTCCTTAGGAAAGGCACTTTACACGAATTTTCCTCACTTCACCCTGGTGGGAATGGATACCCAGCCATAGACAGCGAAAGATCCTGTCAGTATGTTGGCGTTTTAGCGCCTATAAATGGCTGCTTGCACTGTATGCTTCCCAGGAAGTTGTGATTGTTTCAGAATGCTCTCAGGTCTTGA